ATTTGATCAACGGGCTCACGAAGCTGAAGTCTTGCTCCCCTGCGGCGCCCGCCATGCCCGAGTCGGGTCCGGCCTCACCACGACGATGACGATGATGCTCCCCTCTCCTCTCTCTCTCTTCCTCCTGTCGTCGTCTCCTCTCTCTCCTCCTCTGATTCCCGATCTCTCAAATCACCTCCCGGCGGCTCTGTGTGCCTCTCGCTCGCTCCTCCCGTCTCGTGCAGTTCGATGTCGTCGCGACCGGGAGCAGAGGAGGAGGAGGAGGGAGCGCCCCCTAGGCACGGGTCATCGACATCGACACATCATCATCAGCACCAACATCATCACCATCATACTCACCAACATCACCATCATCATAATCACCAATCATCACCATCATCATACTCACCAACACCATCATCATCATAATCACCAATCATCACCATCATCATACTCACCAACACCATCATCATCATAATCACCAATCATCACCATCATCATACTCACCAACACTATCTATATATATAAAATCGTTCATGTCTGTGTGTCTGTGTGTGTGTGTGTGGACTGCACTTTCATTGGACGGCGGTTGCCCCTGGCAACGGCTAGCCACGCTTTCGCCGCTTTCATTGGACGGCGGTTGCCCCTGGCAACGAGTAGCAACTTTTCTCCGCGGGGTGGACGCCATTTTTAATAGCGCGGGGGGGGGGGGGGGGGGGGACCGGCACCCGTACCCAGCGTTCGCCGGGTGCGAAAATCAGGCAAGGCGGGAGGCTCTGCACGGTGCTAGGCCTCGACACCCAACACGCCACTCTGAGGTAAATTCATACAAATTTCACGTCCTCTACAGAGTGGCGAGGGAGGCAGAGTGGCGAGGGAGGCAGAGTGGCGAGGGAGGGACTCAGCCTCAAAACGAGTAACTGGTGTGCCGTATTAACATCGCCACTGGGGAGACAAAGGCGGCCGGGCGTGGTGGATACAAGTCCCGGGCAAAGCCGGGTCATGACTATGTGTGTATGTGTTTATGTGTATGTCTCTGTGTCTGTATGTATGTGTGTATGTATGTGTCTGTATGTGTTTGTGTGTATGTATGTGTGTGTCTGTATGTATGTGTGTGTGTATTGTGTATGTGTTTGTGTGTATGTATGTGTGTGTTTGTATGTATGTGTATGTCTGTGTGTATGTGTGTGTATGTGTTTGTGTGTATGTGCGTGTATGTATGTGTGTGTATGTGTGTGTCTGCAGCAAGCGCGTGTATGTGTACCTATGGACGCGCGCGCGTGTGTTGTGTAGGGGGAACGGTAGTGTAGTGCTTAGCGTACTGCCTGTGTCTATGTGTGTGTGTGTGTGTCTGTGTGTGTGTGTCTGTGTGTGTGTGTCTGTGTGTGTGTGTCTGTGTGTGTGTGTCTGTGTGTGTGCGTGCGTGGTGTGTAGGAGGAACGGTAGTGCTTAGCGTGCTGCCTGTGTGTGTCTGTGTGTGTGTGTCTGTGTGTGTGTGTCTGTGTGTGTGTGTCTGTGTGTGTGTCTGTGTGTGTGTCTGTGTGTGTGCGTGTGTGGTGTGTGGGGAGCGGTAGTGTAGTGGTTAGCGTGCTGTCTGTGTGTCTGTGTGTGTGTGTCTGTCTGTGTGTGTGTTCTGTGTGTGTGTCTGCGTGTGTGGTGTGTGGGGAGCGGTAGTGTAGTGGTTAGCGTGCTGTCTTTGTGTCTGTCTGTGTCTGTCTGTGTGTTTTCTGCGTGTGTCTGTGTGTGTGTGCGTCTGTGTGTGTGAGGAGCGGTGGGTGTAGTGGTTAACGCTACGCTGCGCTACCAACCCGGCGAACCGAGTTAGATTCCCGCTCATGGCCACCACCGATCAAGATTATTTTAACCTCACATAGGTCGACTCAGCCTCAAACGAGTAACTGGTGTGGCGTATTAACATCGCCACTGGGGAGACAAAGGCGGCCGGCCGTGGTGGATACAAGTCCCGGGCGAAGCCGGGTAGTACAGCTAGTCATCATCATAATCACCAATAATCACCATCATCATACTCACCAACACCATCATCATCATAATCACCAATCATCACCATCATCATACTCACCAACACTATCATCATCATAATCACCAATAATCACCATCATCATACTCACCAACACCATCATCATCATCAGCACCAACATCATCATCATACCAACATCACCAACACCATCATCATCAACACCAACATCATCATCAGCACCAACATCACATCCCCATTTTTGGATGCACGACGGACGGACGGACACAATAATCCCCTGTGGGCTGGTGGAACCAGGAGGTTCCTACCAGAATCATGACTGCTCGACTCCCTCAATGGGGCTTTCAAACGCAAACGAGGAAACGCGATTCCAATTCAGTCCGCACACGAGTCCCTCCTGCAATGCCTCAGCACGTGTTTGTTCCAACACATTGCACGCCATAATAGAGGGGTATTTGGGGGGGGGGGAGTTAGATCACGTAAATATATAAATGTGTCGTTAAAACCCGCCACCACCCGACACAGCCAACTAGTAAGGGTTGTCACAAGCTGGTTGTAAATGTTGTGGCTTGGCTCTCCAACACACCGGTTAGTGCTGTACTAGTGACGAATTGGCCACGTTCTGTTTACGTGACAACCCTTACTAGTTGGCTGTGTCGGGTGGTGGCGGGTTTTAACGACACATTTATATATTTACGAGATATAACCCCAAAAAAACTCTATTATGGATGATATTGGTCGCGAAAGCTTACTACTGCTACGTGGTAGTAAACTAACATTTGAGGCTGAGTCGACCTAGGGGAGGCCCAGGACCGGTTCAAGTAATCGTCACTGGTGTTGGCCGTGAGCGAGAATCGAACTCGGGTCTTCGGGTTCGTAGCACAGTGCGCTAACCGCTGCGCCACCGCTCTCTGCTCACCCCCATCACCAACCACCCCCACCAACTCTCTCTCTCTAAACATCGATTTTGCTTGAAGGCCAGTCGCCCGAAACGTCTACATTAAACTGTCAGGTTTATTCGTTAACACGTCTCTTCCTGCCTAGAGCACTCAGCAGGGACGTATCGAATTGACGTAATGGTATGATGAAGAGAACATTGAGGAATTGGTGCACAACTCCCGTTCACCATTCTCGGCCAGTGGTGGAATTTCCACGTTCCTGTGGCGGGGCCGAGTATTTCCAGAGGGCACGTACACATGCACAATCCTTTACTCCTGATTACTGATCAGTGCGATGGATTTGGGGGGGGGGGGGGGTTACTCGACTCATCATCCTTAGTTCCGGGGTCGATAAAACGAGTACCACTTTGTTGAGCCAACAGTGGTTGTCCTCTCCACCACTGGCGAGGCAGCTCTGTGTGCAGGAGATGAGCACCGACGGCTCCGTGACCGATTTAGCAGTAGCACCTCGCTCTGATGAGGTCGACGTTGTGTTTGGTGGTGGTGGTGGTTGTTGGTGGTTGTTGTGTTGGTGGTGGTGGTTGTTGTTGGTGGTTGTTGTGTTGGTGGTGGTTGTTGTTGGTTGTTGTTGTGTTGGTGGTGGTGGTTGTTGGTGGTGGTTATTGTGTTGGTGGTGGTTGTTGTTGGTGGTTGTTGTGTTGGTGGTGGTTGTTGTTGGTGGTTGTTGTGTTGGTGGTGGTTGGTGGTGGTTGTTGTTGGTTGTTGGTGGTTGTTGTGTTGGTTGTGGTTGTTGTTGGTGGTGGTTGTTGTGTTGGTGGTGGTTGTTGTTGGTGGTTGTTGTGTTGGTGGTTGTGTCGTTGGTGTCACCACGTGTGACTTGTGTACACACGCGCGCTCGTGGCCATGCACTGTGTGTATGTTTAACTTATTTCGCACCGTACGTAGCCAACCGTGATAATCGGAGGAAGGACAACAGACGAAACACACAAAGCAGTTCTCAAGAAATCAGTTTTCAGTCTGGATTATTAACAAGTATAACCCGTAAAAACAAAGTTTTTCACTATAAATCCTTTATATGCGTGGCGGCTAGAGTCCTCTCGTCCTCTGGCTTGAGATGGCTGCCACCTATGGGTCAGATGATTGCATTGCACCATTAAGCAATTGGTAATTAAATATAATATTTTTGTCCTAAAAAGTGTAAAATTTTGGAATTTTTCCCACGAACATTAATTGTCACGCACAACGAGTCTGTGTGGAAAATGTCAGCTCGATTGGATCACGGGAAGTGGGTTAAAAAACGACCGAAAGATTTGCACGGTCGTAAGCGCGCAAGCAAGCATGTGAACTTAATATAAAGGATTTAAAAAGTGCATCGCTCCAGTGGCTTCCTAACATCGGAAGAAAGAGCGTTCCAGACGGCCACAGAAGCTCATCTGCAAGCGCGCGATGCAGTGACCGTCTTTGTCTCCCCAGTGCTAGTGTTTACACACCGCACCGGGTACTCATTTGAGGCTGAGTCTACCTAGCGGAGATCCAGGGCTGATTCGGATATATTCGCTGCCACATGTTGGCAGTGAATGGGGATCGAACTCGTCTTGTTTGGTTCGTCGCGCTCCGCAGGCGCTAACCGCGGCACCACCGCTCCCCATGACAACAATCACAACAAAGATGAAGAACCCCCGTAAAGCCTTTAACAGACTATTGGGGCAAGTGCTATGAAGGCCGACACGGCGCACGAGGTGGGTCGATGGCCAACACCACGCCTGGCCGCCTTTGTCTTCCCAGTGACGATGTTTAAACACCGCACCAGGTGCTCATTTGAGGCTGAGTCGACCTAGGGGAGGCCCAACACGGGTTAGAATGTTCGCCAACGGTGTTGGCAGTGAGCGGGAATCGAACCCGGGCAGCCGGAGTTCGTGGCGCAGCGCGCTAACCGATGCACCACCGCTCCCCATGACAACAATCGCGACGCACGCTCCTCGACCCACGTGACCACTCGCCCCCCGGGGGGGCGGGGCCGCAAGGAAGGGGAGGGGCCGCAAGGAGGAGGGGGAGGGGCGATGGGGGAGGGGCGGGGCCGCGATGGGGGGGGAGGAGCCACGAAGGGACGGGGCCGCGAGGGGGCGGGGCCGTGTGGGGGGGGGGGGAAGTCTCGCGCGCGGATCTCGCGCCACCTCTCGCGAGAGTTCGCCTGGAGGAGACTACAAGATGGCGCCGCGTCGGCAGCTGTAAGAGTCGAGGCGACTCGGGCCCGGCACCAGCAACAACAACAACAACAGCAGCAGCAGCGGCAGTGGCGGCGTCGGGCGGAGGGCGGCGCGTTGAGTGGGACGCGAGCGAGGTGCGAGGTAGGTGCGCGAACGCGCCTCGGTCGCGGGGCTCTTCACCCGCGAGCGAGCGCAGCGCTGAGGCGACTAGGCCCGAGATGCGGCCTGAGGACTCAACTGGGCGAGAGTCGAGGCCGCTCCGAGCTGGGGCGGGAGGCCGCTCGCAGCGTCCCCCCCCTCGCCCTCACCCCTCACGCCCTCACCCCTCACGCCCTCACCCCTCTCGCCCTCACCCCTCACGCCCTCACCCCTCACGCCCTCACCCCTCACGCCCTCACCCCTCTCGCCCTCACCCCTCTCGCCCTCACCCCTCTCGCCCTCACCCCTCTCGCCCTCACCCCTCTCGCCCTCACCCCTCTCGCCCTCACCCCTCACGCCCTCACCCCTCACGCCCTCACCCCTCTCGCCCTCACCCCTCTCGCCCTCACCCCTCTCGCCCTCACCCCTCACGCCCTCACCCCTCTCGCCCTCACCCCTCTCGCCCTCACCCCTCTCGCCCTCACCCCTCTCGCCCTCACCCCTCTCGCCCTCACCCCTCTCGCCCTCACCCCTCTCGCCCTCACCCCTCACGCCCTCACCCCTCACGCCCTCACCCCTCACGCCCTCACCCCTCACGCCCTCACGCCCTCACGCCCTCACGCCCTCACCCCTCACGCCCTCACCCCTCTCGCCCTCACCCCTCACGCCCTCACCCCTCACGCCCTCACCCCTCACGCCCTCACCCCTCACGCCCTCACCCCTCACGCCCTCACCCCTCACCCTCCACTCACCATCTCCACTCACCCTCTGCGCCCCCATTCACACTCCAAGCTCCTATTGCTCTCTCAACGCTCCTTTCGCGCCCATCATCTCCCTTTGCACCCCCCATCTCCCTTGTCCTCTTCACTCTCACTGCATTATCCACTCTGCGTGCTCGCCTCCCTCTCTCCCTTCCCGCTATCCCCTACATCTCCCCTCCTCTCCTCTCCGTCCTCAAATTTCCCTTTTGACCCACACGCTCTCCAATCTCTCCTCTTCCCTCTGTTCTGTTTACCCTCCCCGCTGTCCTAGCTGTTGTCACTCTACCTCACTTCGCTCTCACGTGTGCCCGTCCCGTCTCTCTCGTGTCACTAAACTCTCCCGTCTCCCCTCTCCAGCTCCTGCCTCTTCTCCTCTCTCGCCCCCCCCCCTTCCATCTACAATCACTCTCCCCTCCTGTTACTGTCCACTCTCGTCCCTCCCCATCTCCACTGTCCCCTCTCCCCGGCCCCTCTACCCCATCCCTCTGCGTGCCATGCACCCCCCCCCCCCCACCACCACGGTTCCTTGCCCGTGCTGCGCTACTCGACTCGTCGGTCGAGACGGATCACCTCGAGTGTGACCACGGGAGTATTTGTGCCTCGTCACGTCGGGGGAAACGTCGTCACCCCTCGCGAGTCACATCTCCGTGCCTCTCGTTTCAGGTCCTTCAAAAAGAATGAATCATTCGCTTGACAACGCCGTTTCCTATGAAGAGCTGGTGCGACTCAAGGCGCGCGCCATCCCGCAGAACCGCATGAAGGAGTTCCTGGACTCGCTGAGCGGCAAGAGCCCAGAGGCACTGCAGCAGTTCACGTCTCCGCAGATGTACCAGGCTCCGGGGCACTGCATCTACTCCGAGAACGCCGACGTGGCCGGCTCCTTGCTCGAGCTGGCCCGGCCCATCAGCTCCCCGCTGCAGCAGGACGGGCAGCCGGGTGGCCAGTCGCCGCAGATGCAGCTGCAGATGAAGCAGCAGCAGCAGCAGCAGATGCAGTGTCCGATCAGCGGCCTGCAGGCGGAGTCACCTCAGAGCCAGACCAAGCAGGCGCACCAGATACAGTTGCAGCAAATCCGAGAGGTGCAGCTCTCGCAGCAGCTGACGGTGCAGCAAGTTCAGCAGCTGCAGCAGGGCCAGGCCGTGCATGCACAGCAGCAGCAGCAGATGCAGCAGAGCCACGGTTCCCCTCCCCAGGGCGGCTCACCGCCTCACGAACAGACAGTGGCCAAGGTGGGCGAGCGGAGGCCCAGCTCTTCGGGCGTTCCCCAGCCCGTCAAGAAGCGCAAGGTGGACATGCAGGCGAGCGTGTCGTACACCATCGCCCATCACCACCAACAACAACAACAGCAGCAGCAGCAGCAGCCCATGCACAACGCCGTGGCGACAGTGCTGACGCTGCCCTCGCAAAACCAACAACAGCAGCAGCAGAATTACATCCCTGTGCATCAGGAACTACTGACGGTGGACAGCAGCCAGCTGTACGCCTCCAACGCAATCTCGCCCTCGCAGACAGAAACGTGGGCCATTTACACGCCGCACGCGGGCGCTTGTGGGGACGCACAGGGCCACACCAGCCTGCCACAGGAGGCCTACAGCATCGTGCAGGTCACCCCCGGGCAGGCCACCGTGCTGGGCCTCAGGGGCCCCGGGGTCGGTGCCGATGACAAAGACAACCAGTCGGTCGTCTCGAAAACGACGCAGGAGGTCATCCACGCCATCGGCACGCCGGTGTTTGCCTCGCAGTTCGTCAACGGTAGCATCCAGCTGCCCGTGGCCGTGCAGGCCGGCGGGAACATGTACACCTCGCAGGCCACCCAGTACTGGGAGCCCCACCAGCAGCTGCAGGTGAGGGGTGGTGGGTGGGGGGGGGCCGCGGTCCATTGGGCCACGCACTCGACGCTCCCGTCGCGAGCGAGCGCGGTGTGGAGTGGCGTCGAACGAGAGACCGCATTGGTAAGGCTGAAGGCACAAATGTGTAATGTCACGTACATCGTCGCGAAATAACGATACAAAATAGTCCATCGCATCACAGTTGCTGCTGCACTCAATTTGGCCGATTTTCCAGTTCGGAGATGGAGAATATCGGTTGAGCTTTTGTGGAGAAAACATGACTTGTATTGTATTGTCATATCCAGTGTGGCAAGTGCTGCCATCTGCTGTGCTCCCCTCGGAATCGAAAACAAGCACTTAAGCACATCTATATTCTCTTTAATATGAAATTGTCTGCAACGTTTTCGACTTTCGTAACGCGGTTGATTATGCTTTGATTTCTGTTTGGTTATTTTTGCTCTGGTTGTTTTTTATTTCTATTTGTTTCATTTTGCTGTACTTTTTATGTTATTGTTTTAGTCATTTTGATGACCCAGGTTACTCTTGCAAATTAGACTCATCCTGGTCTCTTGAATTCCCACCTGGTTACATAAAATATACCTCTCAGTGCACACTAGCCATTTGTTTAGGATTTATTTACTTTTCTCGTTTTCTCCCAAATTTAACCGATCGCGATATCGGCACGACGAAGAATCCGTTCGGGACTCAAACTGAAGAGTACAACCCTTCGTGTTAGAGTGGCACACGGAAGTTCAAATAAGAGCTACGCTTAAGATCCCTTTAAATTACTTTTTGGTGAAGACAGTCGAGGGCAGTTCTTCCCACTGCTTATAAGAGCAATGTGTTTTGTCGCACCCAAGTCGAACTGATATTTTAATCCTCTAGAGCCGCAGAACCTAATTTTATTTGCTTGTTCAGCCAAATATGTGGAATTGTAAAAGGAAATGTTGGTGCGGATGAAGATGGTTTATGTTAATGCTGCGGTGCATGGAGTGCGGTGAAGGCGGTGCCTCGACACCGTATGAGTGGTGGACGTAACCATGCAGTGCTTGCAATAAGGGAGGGTGCCTGGTGTTGTCGTGATGGTCCGCTTACGTGCGGGAGGATTGGGGTTGCGGGTTTGCGTGACGCGTGGGGATGGTGATGACCCTTGCGTGCTCACGGCCGGCAGCCCCAGGCCCCCTCGGAGCAGCCGGCGCCCCCCGCCGTGGAGCTGGGACAGCCAGAGCCGGCGGCCCCCCCGGATATGATCCTGGACGATTCCCTGAAGCCGGAGGAGGGGATGGCCTTCTGGAGGCAGTGGGCACAGAACAAAAACGCCGAGATCACCAAGGAGGCCAGCAGCAAGCCCCCCACCAGTACGCAGCCTGCACAGTCTACAGCCCTCACCACTCCACACTTTCATCTACAGTGCTCACCATTTACAACCATCGCTGCCTACACAGTCTACAGCCCTCACCACTCCACACTCTCATCTACAGTGCTCACTATCTACACCCCTCGCTGCCTACACAGTCTACAGCCCTCACCACTCCACAGTCATCTACAGTGCTCACTAGCTACAACCCTCGCTGCCCACACAGTCTACAGCCCTCACCACTCCACACTCATCTACAGTGCTCACTACCCACACCGTCTCATCCACAACCCTCAGTACCTCTACACTTTGAACCGAATTTGAATCACAACCCTCTGGAACAAGCCATTCGCGTGTCCGCATCACGTGTAGGCACGCGCGTAGGCGCTGGCGAATCCTTGGCACGTGTACGCGCCCGTGCGTCCATGGCGGGAGCAGACGCCCGCGCGTCTGTGGCGCGCACATATGCTCGCATAGACGCTTGCGCAGGCGCTCGCACGTCCGTGGTGCTCGCGCGTCCGTGGCACGCACAGACCCCCGCGCGTCCATGGCACGCGTATATGCCTGCGTAGACGCCGGTGCGTCGGTTGCGCGCGCGGACGCCCGCGCAGACGCTCGAGTGTCCGTGGCTTGCGCGGCCGTGGCGCGTGCAGACGCTCGCGCTTGGACGTCCCCGCGTCTGTGGCCCACGTAGACGCCCGCATAGACGCCCGCGTGTCCGTGTCGTGCAGGGAGGCCGCCGTTGAAGTTCAAGGAGGATCTGCTGTCGGCCGCGGTGGCCGAGCTCAACTATGGCCTCTGCCTGATCGCGCGCGAGTCTCGGCGCGCTGACGGCACGCCCTACCCCTCCGATGCGCTCTACCTGCTTTTCCTCAACATCCAAAAGGTGGCCCTCTCCCTGTGCCCACTCCCCGCACCCTCTCCACGTGCCCACTCGCTGTGCCCCCTCCTACGCCCTCTACCTGCGCCCATTCTCTAGCTTCTCCCTGCACTCCCTCCCCCTGTGCCCACTCCCCTCTCCCTGCACCCTCTCCCCTCGCCCTGCTATCTCCTGTCCATGCTCCCCGCGCTCTCTTCCCGCATGTGTGGGGCCCCCACCTGCGCTGTGCTCGCGGTGGTTAGTGGTGGTTAGTGGTGGTGAGAGCGGTGGTGTGAGCCGCTTCTTGTTGAATCTCTCCTCCCACAGTTCATGTTCGACAATGGCCGCGTGGACAATATCTTCACCGACCTCTACTACATGAAGTTCACCGAGCAGCTGCACGAAGTGCTCAGGGACTGGCAGCCCAAAGTGAGCCCGCTCGGTAAGACGGCCACCGACTCTCCTCTCCCACCCCTCGCCGTGCCGTACACACCCACACCTCGTTTACCTAGGAAATCCTCATCCAGCCTCGGAATGTTTTATTCAGGAGGGTCCTGTCGAGATTTTTCAGTAGGGGGCAATTTTGCTCCTGTATGTATGTGTGTGGGTCATGTAGCCCGCATGCCCAGCCACCGCATGCCTAAACAGCTTTTGTTCGGCCGGATAGAGGGGGCTAAACGGGCGCGGCACGGGATAGAGAAGAGATGGAGTGACGTGGTACAGGAGGATGTGGAGCTGAGTGGACTTGCCGATGACTGGTACCAGCGGTGTCAAGATCGGCCTCAGTGGAGGAGGCTTGTGAAGGACGCTACTGGGCAGTTGGAGGCAGTCGCCCTCCAACAACAACGGAGGGCGGAGGAGTGACGCTCACAACAACGAGCGGTGCGCCGGGTGGATAAAGCACAGAAAGTTGGCACAGTAGGGGGCACAGGTGGTGCATCAGCCAGTCATCTTGGTCGTCTCAGTCGACCCGTGGCACCTGGATCTGCCCTGTGACCTCCTGCCAGCGGGTGTTCGACACGTCACGTGGCCTCAAGGTGCATATGGCCTGGCACAAGCGTCGTGGTGATGTCACCGCCACTTAGTGGCGAATGACGGTTGTTGTGTGATCCTGCTTGCATAATTTACAAGTAATGTTTGTGATATGAAAAATAAGAATAGGTGTTTACCCTTTCTGGCAATAAAACAGGTTTTAACACCAAATATATACTTTTCGCAAGGAATCAAATCTGCATTAATCACATGTTCTTGTGGAAAAACATGCAAACAAACATGCTGTCATAATAGAAGGCATTGTCTTGGAAACTGATTGGCCTACACCAGAGACAGCCTTCTTTATGGCCTCGTCTCGCCAGCGTCACACCAGAGAACGCCAAAAGCCGAACAGCACAAAGTCAATGCAAGTATCAGTGCAGTTATCGCTTGGGTTGAGCACATCTTAATACCTCTTCTTGGTTCTTTCGGTAAAGTCACGTAGAAGGGAAATAATAAAATAATTAAAATAAAACATAATAAAATACAATTCTCACGACGTTTCGGCCACAACGCAAGCAGCCGTCCTCAGGTGAAGAACAGGTCTGTCGGAAAGACGGCGTCTGTCGGAAAGACAGCGTCTCATTCAGACGCTGTCTTTCCGACAGACCTGTTCTTCACCTGAGGACGGCTGCTTGCGTTGTGGCCGAAACGTCGTGAGAATTATATTTTATTATTTTTATTTTATTATCTCCCTTCTACGTGACTTTACCGAAAGAACCAAGAATATGAATCCCTGCAGTCACGAGAGCTTTACATCGAAATCTTAATACCTGTTTTATTGCCAGAAAGGGTACAACCTATTCTTATGTTTCATACTTTGATATTGGCAAAAAGGTTCCATAAATAATGTTTGTGATCTTGGCGGATGCCGGCTATGCACCGTGTGTTCATTGTGGGCGTGTGTCTACGCCGCAGGGTTTATCATTCCGAGCCAGATCACGGAGGAGATGCTGTGGGAATGCAAGCAGCTGGGAGCTCATTCCCCAGCCACGCTGCTCAACACTCTCATGTACTTCAACACAAAGTGAGTCTGACGCTGCCTCTCGGCAGATGCCAGGCACGAAAAGTGTCTCTGCCAACCATCGCAATGTGGAATCCATAGCAGCCACCACACTCCCTCACGCCAATCGCACTCCCGAGTCCCTGCCAAACATCATAACGCATATTCTTGGTTCTTTTGGTAAAGTCACGTGGAAGGGAAAAACAAATAAAACATAATAAAATACAATTCTCACGACGTTTCGGCCACAACGCAAGCAGCCGTCCTCAGGTGAAGAACAGGTCTGTCGGAAAGACAGCGTCTGAATGAACAGCACCAAGCTTGGCAGCGTATATTTATGCTGGGTTAGAGGAGGAAGGGCGCCTTTATTTTTATTATTTTAATATTTCCCTTCTACGTGACTTTACCGAAAGAACCAAGAAGATGAATCCCTGCAGTCACGAAAGCTTTAAATCGAAATCATAATGCGTAGTCCATAGTACCTGTCACACTGCCTAGCAACCTTCATCTTCCCTTTCCCCTAGCAACCATGATAACCCACTCCCGAGTGCCCATTGTGCTTCCCAGCGCCCATCACACACCCGAGCACCCATCATGACACCTTGTTTTTAGCATCTATTACGCAACCCGCCGTAGCATGACCAGGCGTGAACATTGAATGTGTTCTGGGACCGTTACTCTGTGTGTGTACCCACGCAGGTACTTCATGCTGAAGACGGTGGAGCAGCACGCCAAGTTGGCGTTCTCGCGCGTACTCAAGCAGACCAAGAAGAACCCGAACAGCGTGAAGGACCGCACGGCCAGCATCCGCTACCTGCGCAACTACGGGCAGATCCAGGCCGGGCAGAAAAGTACCGAATGCGCACACCGGGACCACAGTCACACCTGGCGACCTTGCGCACACACACGGTGGCCGCTGGAGAGACGAGAGCGTACACAAATACAGAGAGACAAGGACACACAACAACTGCCAACATTCAATACGAAGTGGCAGTGATGTCAACACACTGCTTGTGCCAGGCTAAATGCACTTCGAGGTCATGTGAAGTGTCGAAGGCTTGCTAACAGGTCACGGGTCAGACCCAGGTGTGATGGTTTGACTGACTGCTCCTACTGTGCAAACTTTCAGCGTTTTAGCCGCCCGACGCTCCGCTCATTGTTGTGAGCATCACTCATCTGCCCTATGTTGTTGTTGGAGGGTGCCTGCCTCTAACTGCCCACAAACCTTCTTTACAGAGGCCGATCTTTATTCAGCTGACACCATCGGCAACTCCACTCAGCTGCACATCGTCCTGTACCACATCAGCTCATTTCTTATCTAGCCCGTGCCACACCCATTAAGCCCCCTCTATGGCCAAACCGAAGCTGTTTGAGCATGTGGTGGCTGGGCATGCTGGCTATAAGACCCAACCAATGCAGTCTTGCCTGCTGGAGATGCTCGCCAATGGGAATATGGTCAGATCTTTGAAGAACATTTGAGCTCACACAATCCAGCCTGGTTAAACCCAGGATGGGTCATAGGCAGGCCAGTCTGAAAGTTTCGAACTGGCACAGATGTTCTTTTAGAGGGGTCTACGTTTCGCAAGCATAGAGGAGGGAGGGCATGACTGTGGCCGAGAAGACCTGAAGCTTCATATGAAGCTTCATATGAAGCGACATCCCAGATGGCTTCCACACAGCGTTACACAGCCCGATGGAAAAAATGTCGCTCATGATTCAGAGTAAGACCTCTGCTGCCAAAACGGAACTAGTCACGGAACTAGTCACAATATAACGTTTTGTATCTCGATAAAGGGTATTACTCTAGTCCATGCCACCACCCACTGGTCTTATGTGATTCTGAACATTTAGCAATAATACTAAAGCTGGTACCTGGAGGAGAGATAGGTCACTCCTTAAACATCGTTAGAACTGCTCTGCCAACGGAGGCTGAGGCATTGCACTACGATACCTTGCAAATGACTTCCAACCAGCACATTGGATGTCCAGGCCCATGATGTCACCACTGCTCTCATGGAATGAGCCCTCAGCCATTCTGGTGGGGTCCTTCTGGACCATCCTGTCTTCCCGTTTCGTGTTTGGGTTAATGTAGGGTAGCATAAAGCAAAAGGAGAGGTGATATCGTATTACGCACCATGAATCAAACCCTAGTTTCCCCATATGCCTTTGAGTTCGGAAATTGCGGATTTGCACATTACTGCAATTTTCAAGAACGTAACCCCCACGATGGGAAAAGTTTGGGTGTATCTGGTAACCCGCATGACAGGTGGTCCTGATCCACTTTGATGCACCAACAGGAGAACGCCCTCCAGTGGCTGGCATTGACCCAGCCCTTTGAGGCTGTCCACGTTCTTTGCCTGATCTGAAAAGCCCAGGGTCGCGAGCCCCATCCTTTTAATGTCCAGACATTCAACGGAAAACGCTGGACATGTGGACACCACTTCGCGCCGTGGCACAGTAGATCCACTGGAACCGGGAGTGACCACAAAGAGCCCCATTCTCAGTTCAAGAAGATCTGAGAGCACGCAGAGGCACGCACGCAGAGGCACGCACGCAGAGGCACGCACGCACGCAGAGGCACGCACGCACGCAGAGGCACGCACGCACGCAGAGGCACGCACGCACGCAGAGGCACGCACGCACGCAGAGGCACGCACGCAGAGGCACGGAGGCACGCACGCACGCACGCAGAGGCACGCACGCACGCACGCAGAGGCACGCACGCACGCACGCAGAGGCACGCACGCACGCACGCAGAGGCACGCACGCACGCAGAGGCACGCACGCACGCAGAGGCAGGCACGCACGCACGCAGAGGCACGCACGCACGCAGGCACGCACGCAGGCACGCACGCACGCAGAGGCACGCACGCACGCAGAGGCACGCACGCACGCAGAGGCACGCACGCACGCAGAGGCACGCACGCACGCAGAGGCACGCACGCACGCAGAGGCACGCACGCACGCAGAGGCACGCACGCACGCAGAGGCACGCACGCACGCAGAGGCACGCACGCACGCAGAGGCACGCACGCACGCAGAGGCACGCACGCACGCAGAGGCACGCACGCACGCAGAGGCACGCACGCACGCAGAGGCACGCACGCACGCAGAGGCACGCACGCACGCAGAGGCACGCACGCACGCAGAGGCACGCACGCACGCAGAGGCACGCACGCACGCAGAGGCACGCACGCACGCAGAGGCACGCACGCACGCAGAGGCACGCACGCACGCAGAGGCACGCACGCACGCAGAGGCACGCACGCACGCAGAGGCACGCACGCACGCAGAGGCACGCACGCACGCAGAGGCACGCACGCACGCAGAGGCACGCACGCACGCAGAGGCACGCACGCACGCAGAGGCACGCACGCACGCAGAGGCACGCACGCACGCAGAGGCACGCACGCACGCAGAGGCACGCACGCACGCAGAGGCACGCACGCACGCAGAGGCACGCACGCACGCAGAGGCACGCACGCACGCAGAGGCACGCACGCACGCAGAGGCACGCACGCACGCAGAGGCACGCACGCACGCAGAGGCACGCACGCACGCAGAGGCACGCACGCACGCAGAGGCACGCACGCACGCAGAGGCACGCACGCACGCAGAGGCACGCACGCACGCAGAGGCACGCACGCACGCAGAGGCACGCACGCACGCAGAGGCACGCACGCACGCAGAGGCACGCACGCACGCAGAGGCACGCACGCACGCAGAGGCACGCACGCACGCAGAGGCACGCACGCACGCAGAGGCACGCACGCACGCAGAGGCACGCACGCACGCAGAGGCACGCACGCACGCAGAGGCACGCACGCACGCAGAGGCACGCACGCACGCAGAGGCACGCACGCACGCAGAGGCACGCACGCACGCAGAGGCACGCACGCACGCAGAGGCACGCACGCACGCAGAGGCACGCACGCACGCAGAGGCACGCACAACCATTGTCTCGGAAGCGCGTGGAGGAACCACAGATGAGTAGCAAGGCAGCAGGCAGCGAGCTAGCATTTTTTATTGTGTTTTCATCCAATTAATGAGAGTTCATACTTGTGGGAGGTACCTTGGGTACCTGGAGAAAACCCACACATGCGAGGAGGCAACGCGATGCCACACAGACGGAACCAGTGGCGTTCATATTTTTGCCGTTCCGCATTCACATGGCAAGCCAGGGTACAGCTCCTTCTCGACGTCCAATAGAAGGGATTTTCAAAACGAGTGTGAGATCCGCCAACTCTCGCTGCCTCCACAGTGCTGGATTACAGGCCATGTGCATAGCCACCACGTCTACCTGGCTGTTGATCTGTTTTGATGAGCAACTCCAGTGATGGGCGCTGTGTGTGCGCGTGCAGCCTCGGTGCTCGCCCACAGCTCTTGCCCCAACAGTCGTGTTAAGGCTACACGGGGGATCTTTGTCTTTGTTTGCAGTCACGGATGACATGTACGCCGAGCAGCCCGAGAACGTCGAGAACCCGCTCCGCTGCCCCATCAAACTCTACGACTTCTACCTCTTCAAGTGGTGAGCATCTCGCACTGGTCGCTCTCTCTCACTCTCTCACGGGGTCCTGTCTCTGGTTCACTCTCACGGGGTCCTATCTCTGGTTCACTCTCACGGGGTCCTGTCTCTGGTTCACTCTCACGGGGTCCTGTCTCTGGTTCACTCTCACGGGGTCCTGTCTCTGGTTCGCTCTCACGGGGTCCTGTCTCTGGTTCACTCTCACGGGGTCCTGTCTCTGGTTCACTCTCACGGGGTCCTGTCTCTGGTTCGCTCTCACGGGGTCCTGTCTCCGGTTCGCTCTCACGGGGTCCTGTCTCTGGTTCACTCTCACGGGGTCCTGTCTCTGGTTCGCTCTCACGGGGTCCTGTCACTGGTTCGCTCTCACGGGGTCCTGTCACTGGTTCGCTCTCACGGGGTCCTGTCTCTGGTTCACTCTCACGGGGTCCTGTCACTGGTTCGCTCTCACGGGGTCCTGTCTCTGGTTCGCTCTCACGGGGTCCTGTCTCTGGTTCACTCTCACGGGGTCCTGTCTCTGGTTCACTCTCACGGGGTCCTGTCTCTGGTTCACTCTCACGGGGTCCTGTCACTGGTTCGCTCTCACGGGGTCCTGTCTCTGGTTCGCTCTCACGGGGTCCTGTCTCTGGTTCGCTCTCACGGGGTCCTGTCTCTGGTTCACTCTCACGGGGTCCTGTCTCTGGTTCGCTCTCACGGGGTCCTGTCTCTGGTTCACTCTCACGGGGTCCTATCTCTGGTTCACTCTCACGGGGTCCTGTCTCTGGTTCACTCTCACGGGGTCCTGTCTCTGGTTCGCTCTCACGGGGTCCTGTCTCTGGTTCGCTCTCACGGGGTCCTGTCTCTGGTTCGCTCTCACGGGGTCCTGTCTCTGGTTCGCTCTCACGGGGTCCTGTCTCTGGTTCACTCTCACGGGGTCCTGTCTCTGGTTCGCTCTCACGGGGTCCTGTCTCTGGTTCGCTCTCACGGGGTCCTGTCACTGGTTCACTCTCACGGGGTCCTGTCTCTGGTTCACTCTCACGGGGTCCTGTCTCTGGTTCGCTCTCACGGGGTCCTGTCTCTGGTTCACTCTCACGGGGTCCTGTCTCTGGTTCGCTCTCACGGGGTCCTGTCTCTGGTTCACTCTCACGGGGTCCTGTCACTGGTTCGCTCTCACGGGGTCCTGTCTCTGGTTCACTCTCACGGGGTCCTGTCTCTGGTTCACTCTCGCGGGGTCCTGTCTCTGGTTCGCTCTCACGGGGTCCTGTCTCTGGTTCACTCTCGCGGGGTCCTGTCTCTGGTTCACTCTCGCGGGGTCCTGTCTCTGGTTCGCTCTCACGGGGTCCTGTCTCTGGTTCACTCTCGCGGGGTCCTGTCTCTGGTTCACTCTCGCGGGGTCCTGTCTCTGGTTCACTCTCGCGGGGTCCTGTCTCTGGTTCGCTCTCACGGGGTCCTGTCTCTGGTTCACTCTCGCGGGGTCCTGTCTCTGGTTCTCTCACGGGGTCCTGTCTCTGGTTCACTCTCGCGGGGTCCTGTCTCTGGTTCGCTCTCACGGGGTCCTGTCTCTGGTTCGCTCTCACGGGGTCCTGTCTCTGGTTCGCTCTCACGGCGTCCTGTCTCTGGTTCGCTCTCACGGGGTCCTGTCTCTGGTTCGCTCTCACGGGGTCCTGTCTCTGGTTCGCTCTCACGGGGTCCTTTCTCTGGTTCACTCTCACGGGGTCCTGTCTCTGGTTCACTCGCCGTGCGCCGAGAGTGGGACTCACGCTGCCCACTGCTGCTTTGCCTCGCCGCTGCATCTCAGCCCCCAGAGCGTCAAGGGCAAGAGCGACATCTTCTACTTGACGCCGGAGCCCGTGGTTGCGCCCAACAGCCCCATCTGGTACTCGGCGCAGCCCGTGGGCGCCAGCGGAATGGAGCAGATGCTGGCGCGCATTCTGCTGGTGCGGGAGGTGCAGGACGCTCACTCTAGCGCTGGCCTGCACTGAGGCGGCGGCGGCAGCAGCAGAGGAGGCTGCGCGCTCGGCCTTGCATGCGGCCCGCGGCCGGCCCCGCCGCGGCGGCACGCGACGGCACGCGGCCTCCGTCGCTGTGCGGACAGGACGACTCCTCGCGCCGACGCGGCCGTGGCCGCCCGTGGCGGTGGGGGCCCGGTGAACCGCCGCGGCCACCCGCACTGCCGCCAAGCCACCCGCCACCCCCCTCCCCGTCCTCCGCCGTCTCGCGCCAGGCGCGGTGCGGCCGTCGACGGGCACGGGCGTTTGTCGAACGGTCCCGGACACGGTTAGGGGTCCCTTGGCGACGCTCTCTCGGTCGCGTGTGCGGCGCCCGACGCCGTGCTGCCCAGCGAATCGATACGCTCCCCCATGTCGGCGCGCGGGGACCCGGCTGCTTCCGACGGGGTTCGGCGCACACGTGCGGCCGTCGCGCAGGAAGAGTCGGCGCCGCTTGTATATAACCGCGCGGTGCCGACGGCCCCCCACGCCACCCCACCCTACCCACCGCCCGTGCCGCCAGGAGCAGGTGAGTATTGGGCACGGAACGTGGCCCTGATGCATGCATTTTACCGGTGGCGTCAAGAGGTCGGCCCCACTCAGCCGTGTGCCGTCGGCTCTGCTCTTAAGTGTTTTCTGAATCGGCTGCCTTGCTAACCGCTTCTCTTCTCCCCCGTGCTTCTGCCGCTGGCGGGTTTGTAACGACCCCTTGCACCTTAGTCCGCCGTGGGCGGGTGGGGGGGCCCCCGAGTCCCCCCTCCCCTCCGCGGATTCACATCTAGATCCGCGTGTGGGTTCTGTACTCCCGCGCCCCTCTATTTTTTTTACACTTGCTGAGCACAGACCCCAACGGCCAGCAGCAGCAGCAGCAAACATCGCTCCAATAAGAATCGACGTGTTTCTTGATTTGAGCAATGTTTCGATTTAAAGCTTTCGTGACTGCAGGGATTCATCTTCTTGGTTCTTTCGGTAAAGTCACGTGACTTTGCCGAAAGAACCAAGAAGTTGAGCAATTTTACCGATATTAGAGCTTGGGATAAGAGACAGTGGGGAGGGAATTCCAAATTGGAGCAGTGTGAGGAAAAGCAGCAAAGAGAAGTGTTGTGACCTGCAGGAGTAGTTGGGTGGCTGGGTGAATGGGTCGGTGGGTTGGCTGGGCGAGTGGGTGGGTGGCTGGGTGAGTGATCTACAGTGTGGATGAGGTGAAGCTGTCCCTGTGGAGTGTTTGCTGTGGGAGAACCTGGGAGGGGGGTGTGAGGGTAGCCCCCATCTCCCGGCGTCTGGGCTGTACCTGCTCCCCCACCATGCTCACCCCACACCACCCTCTGCCTCGTGTTCATCCCCACCGTGATCACGCAACCCCCAATCGCAGCACCGCAGACACAGGGTCCGAGTGGAAGCCATTCATCCAGTGAGACACCACGCTCGTTAACACTACAGTGTGCCGCTAGCTGGGCGGTCGTGTCGCAGCACGGGTTATGCTTTCAGTGGCTGTTCTTGACAGCTGGTGTCCTCGCTCCCCCCCCCCAAAATTCCCTCATCTGCAGGGTGTCCCCTCGCCGTACATCTGGGGCCCGCGTGGCTGACTTGTACAATAAACTTGTGGCTTGACTAAATCTGATGGTAAAGGCCACTGCTTCTTAGTAAATCTACTCGAACAACTGCCTCCGCACGGGGCGAGCGGGCGGGTGGCCAACGTGGGGGGCCCGATGCTTCGTGCGCTCACATTGGTTGGCGGCCGACATAGGTGACATTCCTATCGTGGCACGAGAGCCGTGTTTCTAATACATGTATGAAAATATTTTTATAAAGTTATTTTGTAACCGTTGAGTAGCTCGCAAGGCAAGGGTGTCCTTCCTGCTGTAGGCCTCCTGGTGGTGTGTTTTCCGTGTAATCGGTTTAGACGCATACATGTAATCCTAATTAGTTTATCTTGTGTAAGTTTCAAGGTAATAAAAGTTCGCCGAGTTTGCAAATTAAAGTGATTTCCCAAGCGCAGTCGCCTCCGGCGTGAACCGCACACGGGCGCGAAATGGGTGGCCCTGCTGGGCCCTGTGGCATCGGGGGGGAGATCAAGATGTCCTCGCGGCCAAGGCCATTGTCATGCCACCACTGCACCTCCCTGCCGAATGCTGTTGGTGCACAGCAGACATGGCGACCCCATCTTCCCACCTCCATTAGGCCTTGGGTCGATCCCGAGGTCACACTTATTTTAAACCCAGCTCCCTCTGCAAATGATGAGCCACAACCCACACGGCAGGAGACTGCGTGGAGGCTGGAACCAAAAGAGCGAGCGAGCGAGTAAGTGGGTGTTTGAGTAGATTTAACAAGCAAAGGTGCGCGCTGCTCATAGCCAGCGGGAGGGCTCCACTCCCATCAATGTGCCTTGTATGCCTGGCACAAGACAACCCACATGTCGTGTAAAATGCCCTCTGTCTTGTCCAGACCACGAACTCAAGAGTTCAACATGCGACTGGTTTAAGACCCAGATACAGAACACACGGACTCCCTTGACACGATGCGCGTGCGCCGCACCCTCCGAGCTCGTGACTTCCCGAGCAGCAGTGCCGCCACTGTCACGCGATCGTGCGCGGGAGCGCAATTTGAGTGCAGGTACTTTCTCAGATATGTAATGTGGTTTTGGCCAATACCTGTATTTAGCTATGGGAGGAAACCTCAAAACCCATAGGAAAAAATGCTGATTTAAAGCTTTCGTGACTGCAGGAATCCATATTCTTTGGGTCTTTCCATAGGTTCAAAGAAAATTAAAAAACGACCGCTTGCGTTGCGATCGAAACAGAGTTTTTTGTTATTTTCTTTGAACCTATCTACGCAACTACCGACAGACACAGAATACCCACGGTAAACTCATGCAGAGCAAGGAGAGAAGATAAAAACTCAACGCAGAAAAGTGAAGAATGGAACCCAGGTACTCCTTACCGTGAGACAAAAGTGTTGCCACCCGGCCACCCATCACCGGTAAACATGATTCATCATCAGCCATGGCAAAACCATGACTGGATGAAGTCCTCCCCAAGCCGCCGCCACCACCTCTCAACAACCATGCGATACTGCACACCAATGGATCATCATCGCTCCATCTGCTCAGTGGACGTCCGCTGGGTCGCCTTCCATTGCTTGGCTGCCACTGTTCAGTCTCGACCAGCAGCTATCAGTGTCCCTTCTGACCCTGACGCGTCCTGCCCAAGCCTCGCAGTGATGCTGTGCACATGTTTGTCTCTCGTCATGTGGTCCTCTGTCCCACACATCACTCCATGCTGCCATGTGCATTTGTCAAGGAAGGGTGATAGGATTTGCTGCCATGCGATAGCACCACACGGGGAAATTTGCTGTAGAAAATGAAACTGAGCGGTGAGAGCAAAGACGCAGGTTTGGGGAAAGGGGATGCAGTGCCTGTGCCTCAGGACATCGCGCCTCTCACCCACACAGCTCCAATATATATTTTTGTAAACTGATTAAAACACCTGGTCTCTGTACACGTGCCCGTTGGCTGGTGTCGATACTGCAGAGGTTCACAGGGAACTTTCCGGAGAGCAGACTCACGGTTGCTTGAGTGTTGATCCTGCAGCAGCAGCAGCAGCAGCCTCACGCATTTGTAGATTTAACAATGGTGAATAGTTCTTTTTTTGCGATTTCTATCCTGGAAAGTAACGCCCTGTAGCAGCAGTATCATGCATGATTAGTTTTTGCGATTTAGTCGTTCATGATTTTCTGCAATGTTGAACATTTTTCTATTGTTATTTCGGTAAAGTCACGTAGATAGAAAAAATAATGAAAATTAAGTTAATAAAAAATAATAAAAATATCACGTTTCGATCGTAACACAATCAATGATGATGTAATCTTTTTTTTTATTTTTTATTCACTTTATTTGTATTTTGTTTTTATCTCCGTGACTTTACCGAAAGAACCATAGAATATGAATTCCTGCAGTCACTAACGGTTAAGTAAAAATTTTACGTTGAACATTGCTGTTGAATATTCATGCAACTCTTTTCTTCTAAATAGTAATTTTTTTTAAACCACTGCATATGTTTTCATTCCAATCTCGTTGCGAACGTCGATGTTAACATTGGGAATTTATTTTCACCTACGTGACTTTACCGAAAGAACCAAAGATTATTGGGAATACTGCACGTTCCAGACATCGTTGATTTTACTTGGGTTCCATCTCAATTTGGAACTCAGGCCGTGAGCAGAGACGCGGCCTGCAAGCGAACCACAACGTGTGAGTGGCGCTCATTCGGATTTGATCAATCCGCTGGTGGACGAGCAGGCTGAACGCCACCGATGTTAGCCAGGGTCTGGGGAGGTCTGGGCTGCGTACCAAATGCAGCTGTACGAGTCAGTCCTGAACCTCTCCCATTTCCTCTCTGCATCGGGATGGTGGGGGGGGGGGGTATGTTTCCAACCCCACATGGGATGACTTTTATTTGTAACCTTAATCAGCTGGCTGAGACCAGGCTCCTATGGGTTTGAAGGGGTCTTTTCCGCAGTGGGAGATGGAACTTATAGATGACAAGCAGACCAGGTCCACAGTAGGTCCTGGTGTCAACCAGCACCGCACACCACCAAGCACACACCTCGATGCGACACATTCAGTGGTAACGTCTTTATTGGAAGAGCCCTTGAGGCCCCAATGCCTCTCGATACAAAGTAAAACAGAAACGCAGAGATTTCACCTCCAGAAATAACGAGTTTAGAAAGCGATTTGTACACGCGGCGAGTAAAATGTTCTGTCTGGGAGAAGGGACCAACAGGTGAGCGAGTTACAGGTGAGTTAGGAAGAGTGCAGTTCCAGCTGACCCTGTGACTCGCACATTCACGGTGCAAACGTGATACCTGCATTTCCCCTCGAGACGAAAGGGAACGGGAACGAGATGAGATATGCGACGAGACGGGATTCTTCTCATGTCTCCTTGGATCTGCGCAGGTGTCCTTGAAGGAGCTCACCAGGTCTCCTTGGTGGACCTGCCCAGGTCTCCTTGGTGGAACCTGCCCAGGTCTCCTTGGTGGACCTGCTCAGGTCTCCTTGGTGGACCTGCTCAGGTCTCCTTGGTGGACCTGCTCAGGTGTCCTTGGTGGAGCTACGCAGGTCGGTGGTGTGCGGTTCGTGCTGGATCGTCTGGTGCAGCATGAGTGCCAGCAGGCCGGCGCGGTTTGCCATCGCCGTGCGCACGTTCCGTTCCTGCTCAAACAGCTCGTCCAACTTGTACCACTGAGGCACCACGGAGACACACAGAGACACACGGAGACACACGGAGACACGCAGACAGCCAAGGAGACGCAGTCATTAAAAGTCACACGGACAATTGTGGACACGCACGGAGACGCGCAGTCGTATACATATACACACGTACACATGGAAACAGGGACACACCATGAAGGAGGGTTGCAGTAGCCCTGCCAGGCTTCACGACGGATTCCTAGTTTTAGGATACCGAGAGCGCGATCGGGACATCGTGGCCCAGTGGGAGTGCGGGAGCCCTTGTTTTTTTATAAAAGGTTCGTGGTTGTAATCCGGCAGGCTGCACTGGTTAATACTGAGGTGTGTATTGACCGTAAAACTACTCCGTGCCAGTCTGCTACGCAGTGGATGAAGATCCTGTGACGTCATTTCAGTAAAAGTAGTCCATTGCGCACGGGCTTTTTGGTTGAAAGTTGGCAAATTTACACAACAAATTACTCAATTTGGATGCCACACTTTCGCAGCTGCACTGGGGTGCCCTTTGAATGCTTGAGATTGAGATGTCAGGCTCTGAGATGCAAGGCTCTGAGATGCCAGGACACTTAAGTGAGCCCCATAGAAATGCAAAATATTCAACATTTTGGGTAGCAGGGGCGGGAGATGTTTTTGTTTAAAGGGCTCGTGCAGTGACGCGTGGTTGACGTTGGCCCACCGGGGGCGTGCACACGTGACAACTCTGACGCAAATCTGGGCCCCCCCGAGTTCTGCTGCTGCCTCCTCCCAGTCATCACGGAATGCAAATGACATCTTTATATAATTGGGCACAAGGATTGATTGTGGTGTGGAGGAGGGGGCTGGGGGGGGGGCGTGCACGAGAAATAAACGTGATTAACGTGTGTGGCTGGGCCCGGGGCCAAAAAGGGGGGGCGGGGGGGAGGAGAGATTTGTGCGACTCCACTATCCCTGGACGCTCGTTCATCACGCGTTGACCCGAGCTGCGGCTCAAAGAGACGGGGAGAGCCAAGGTCACACGGCCTCCAGGCATGCAACAATGCACACGACGCGTGCGCAACAACAACACACGCAACACGCACAATATGTGCATGCAACACGCGCAATACGTACACACAACACATGCACCCCATACACAAGAGATGTGCACCACACAGCCTCCAAGCAGCACAACAAAGATCCCCGTATACCCTTAACAGACTGACACGGCACACGAGGGGGTGGGTGGCCAGCACCACGCCCGGCCGCCTTTGTCTCCCATGTTCCGATGTTTAGACGATCTCACCAAGTATTCATTTGAGGCTGAGTCGACCTAGGGGATGCCCAGGACCGATTCAGATGATCCTCACTGGTGTTGGCCGTGAGCGGGAGTTGAACTCGTATCGCTGGGTTTGTAGCGCAGCGCGCTAACGTCGCACTACCGCTCCCCACGCAGCACTCCACACGCACGCAGCCGGGCACACAGCCGGGCACGCAGCCGGGCACGCAGCCGGGCACGCAGCTGGGCACGCAGCCGGGCACACAGCCGGGCACACAGCCGGGCACACAGCCGGGCACACGCGGCCTCCCCATGCTACGGGACGCACAGACGAACCCCCAACACTCCCGTCTCAATCTCCGCGGTCCGCCAAACAGGTGGCTCAGCGGCAGAGTAAGAGGGCTTCTCGCAAGCGGAAGGGCTGTCAGGTAAAATCCTGCTATTGAGTTGACTCGCCCCATCATCTCTCCCTCGGGGTGGGGGGAGGCGTCGATAAAAATAAGTACCAATTTGTGATTA